AGATTGGTGGTTGCCAGGAGATGGGAAGAAGAGAGAATAGTGACTGCTAACTCTTTTGGAGGTAATGAGATGTTCTAGAATTAGTGGTGGTCGTAAAACAGTGTGAATATACTAAAAAACTACTAAACTGTGCACTTTAAAATGGTGAATTTGGCTGGGCACAGAGACTCACACCTGTAATCCCAGCACTTTGGGAGGCTGAAGTGAGTGGATTGCTTGAGCCCATGAGTTTGAGACTGGCCTCAGCAACATAGTGAGACCCAGACTCTACAAAAAAATTTTAAAAATTAGCTGGGTGTGATGGCATATGCCTGAGGTCTAGCTATTTTGGAGGCTGAGGCAGGAGGATCACTTGAACCTGGGAGGTCAAGGATACAGTGATTGTGTCACTGCACTCCAGCTTGGGCAACAGAGTGAGACTCTGTCTCAAAAACATAAATAAAAAAATTAAAAACAGAATGGTGAATTTTATGGTATGTGAATTATATCTCAATAAGAATTGAGATATTCTACAAAATAATTGGCCAGTCCTCTTCAAAAATTTATACTCATGAAAAACAAAAAAAGAATGAGAGGCCAGGTGCAGTGGCTCATACCTGTAATCCCAGCACTTTGGGAGGCTAAGGCAGGTGGATTATTTAGGGTCAGGAGTTCGAGACTAGCCTGGCCAACATGGCAAAACCCTGTTGCTACTAAAAATACAAAAAAAAAAAAAAAAAAATTAGCTGGGCATGGTGGCATACACCTGTAATTGTAGCTATTCGGGAGGCTGAGGCAGGAGAATCACTTGAACTTGGGAGGGGGAGGTTGCAGTGAGCTGAGATTGTGCCACTGTACTCCTGTGTGACAGAGTAAGATTCTGTCTCAAAAAAAAAAAAAAGAAGAATGAGGAACTGTCCCAGATGTCTGATGAGACCAGGGAGACTTGACAACTAAATGTGATGTGGGATCCAAGATTAGGTCCTGGAACAGAAAAAGTATATAGTAGGACAAATGGTAAAATTTGAATAAAGCCTCTAGATTAGCTAATAATATTGTATTAGTGTTAAAGTTCTATAATTTTGATATAATTATGTACAGTTTTGACATTAGGTGAAGTTAGATGACAGATATACAGAAAGTTTGTGTATTATTTTTGCAAGTTTTGTATAAGGTTAAAATTATTTTAAAATAAAAAGGCCGGGCATGGTGGCTCATGGCTGTAATCCCAGTACTTTGGGAGGCCAAGGCGGGTGGATCACCTGAGGTCAGGAGTTTGAGACCAGCCTGGCCAACACAGTGAAATTATCTCTACTAAAAATAAAAAAAATTAGCCAGGTGTGGTGGTGCATGCCTGTAATTCCAGCTACTTGGGAGGCTGAGGCAGGAGACTTGCTTGAACCTGGGAGGCAGAGGTCGCAGTGAGCCAAGATTGTGTCATGCACTCCAGCCTGGGTAAAAAGAGCAAAACTCCGTCTTAAAAAAAATATTAAAAGAAAAAAATAAAATAAAAATTAAAAAACAATATATGGCTGGGAGTGGTTGCTCACACCTGTAATCCTAGCACCTTGAGAAGATGATGCAGGAGATCGCTTGAGCTCAAGGGTTCAAGACCAGCCTGGGCAACATAGTGAGACCTTGTTTCTACAAAAAATGTAAAAGTTATCTGGGTGTGGTGGTGTGTGCCCTTAGTTCCCAGCTAAGGTGGGAAGAAGGCTTGAGGCCAGGAGGTCAAGGCTTGCAGTAGACTATGTTTGTGTCACTGCATGCCAGCCTGGCCAACAGAGCGAGCCACTGTCTCAAACAAAAAATGTACACGATGCGGGACAGGGATTGGCAACTTTTATTCATAAAGGGCCATACAGTAAATACTTTAGACTCTGTGAACTACATGGTTTTATGGCAACTACTACTCAACCCCACTGAGTAGCATTAAAGCACCCAAAGACAATATATAAATATACATGTATAAACATAAATAAATGGTGTGGCTGAAACGAACATTGAAATTTTATTTTCCTGTAATTGTCATCTATGAAATATTATTCTTTTTTTATTTATCATCATTTAAAAAGGTAGAAAGCATTCTTAGCTCACAGACCATGTGTCCAGGTTTGGTTCACAGGCTATATATAGTATGCACAACCCCACTCTAAGTCAGAATTTGCTAATGTGTACTTCAATTAAAAAAAAAAAGATTTTATATCAAGTAGATTAAACAAATAAAACAAGTTATTATCTTGGCTCATAAAGCACATTTCCTTATTACAGGACCTCTCAGTGCTTTTAATGTGGTATTACATATTGAGATGCTCCAAGAAAGGACAATGGTGTGTAGCTTTCTCAAACTTATTGTTAGCAGCAAATCCTTTTTTCAGAGCCATTTCTTCAGACCAGTGGCCTGAAGAACACACTTATGAGGATGCCAATTCAGATACTTCTTTAAAAGGACATTTTTAGGGGGGTGGGGAGTTGGGGAGAGATAGCATGGGGAGAAATGCTAGATATAGGTGATCGGAAGGAAGGCAGCAAATCACACTGCCATGTGCATACCTATGCAACAATCTTGCATGTTCTTCACATGTACCCCAAAACCTAAAATGCAATTTAAAAAAAAAAAGGAAATTTTTAGGTTGTGAAGTTCTAAAAACTCCAACAAATTAAGATCATTTTACCAAGCACCTGGATAACACCTGAATAAGCATTTTGCAACTTTTTTTTTTTTTTGAGACAGAGTTTCCCTCTTGTTACCCAGGCTGGAGTGCAATGGCACGATCTCGGCTCACCGCAACCTCCGCCTCCTGGGTTCAGGCAATTCTCCTGCCTCAGCCTCCTGAGTCGCTGGGATTACAGGCACGCGCCACCATGCCCAGCTAATTTTTTGTATACTTAGTAGAGACGGGGTTTCACCATGTTGACCAGGATGGTCTCGATCTCTTGACCTCGTGATCCACCTGCCTTGGCCTCCCAAAGTGCTGGGATTACAGGCTTGAGCCACTGCGCCCGGCTGCAACTTTTTTTTTTTTAATCTTGGGAAACACAAGCAAGTCAATAAACACAGGCAGAAAGTTTTGGCTCAACCCTAACCTTTATTTTGTGGGGGTGGGGGAGCAAGTCGGCAGAACTGGGTCATAATATGGAGCTTCTGCTCCCTAAGACAACATAAACATTCCTGAGCATTCTAACAGCTGTTGAAAAAGTGATTTAGGTAGAGCTTTGTAATGCATAACATTAGGAAATAATGATATTTGATTAGAAAACTAAAGCTATGCTAGAGGCCAGGCATGGTGACTCACACCTGTAATCCTAGCACTTTGGGACGCTGAGGCAGGCAGATCACTTGAGGTCAGGAGTTCGAGACCAGCCTGTCCAACATGGTGAAACCCCATCTCTACTAAAAATACAAAAAAATTAGCTGGGACTGGTGGTGTGTGTGAACTGGCAAGTCAAGTCTATAAGAGGACTGGTTTTATTTGATGGATGGAAAGCTAGCCTACAGACTGCAAAAATTCTCTCACGTCTATACACATATTGCTGAAGAAAGGATTCAAGAGGGGGTTATGTTACAGGGAGGAGAAGGCTGTTCTGAAAGGCCTCAAGGGGTCCTTTCAACTGAGACTCCTCAATTCTGTGATTCAAAGAGTTCACTGGCTTCTCCTGGTCAAACACAAAATCTCCAGAGGCATTTCCAAGTTGTTCTTAGAAAAAAGCTACTATCCCACGGGGTGGGACCCAGTTTACTTATTCATTCAACAAACATTTAAGGTACCTCTATCAGATATTGGGTCATTCCAAAGTCCTTGAAAAAAAGGATGGTGCACAGGACAACCAGGAAGAGATTACATAAGGTCAGATGCATTGGCCTTATTTACAGGACATGTAGGCCAAAGTGATGGAAGTGTCAAGAAAAGAGAGAAGAAAAAGTCACATTTGTCCTAAGAGCAGAGTCAGCACCAGAAAGATGCAGAATAACTCCTTAGAATCACAGACTTTCAAGTTGGAAAGGACCTTCATCTAATACCTATATAACTCCCTCTAAAGGAGGCACAAAGGCAATCCATTCACTCCATCGCTGGTCATCTCTGATGATTCTTTCATTTAAATTCTTCTATTAAGCAAAAATCTTGTCTTCCTGTAGAACTCACCTGTTAGTTCCAGTTCTGCCTCTTTTAGCCCCAAATATGAAGTGGAAGCCCTCTTTGCCATAATAATTTTTTCAAATTTTAAAAAGTTAATTCCCTTCCAGTGCTCTCTTTACTCAACTAAGTTCTTTCAAAGTTCCTGAACTGGCACCAGCTGCCTCAAAGGAAAGAATGGATATCTAGTGCTCACAGCAGGAAAGCACTTAAAATCAATGCACTTCGAACATCGGTATAGACACGACCTACCTAGGCACAAGCTCAAAAAGCAGTTTCTTAGGTTCCAACTCAGATATTAAACCAGATATCTGAATTGAGTCCTGCACTTTAATGTAAAGCCGGTATCTCAGAGAATTTCAAAGCAGATGGTGTAAGAACCGTATTTTGAGAAACACTGCCCCGTTTTACACACAAGGAAACTGAGGCCCAGCACAGGGAAGAGATTTGGCCCAGAACGCACAATTGTCTGTCGGAGGCGAAGTCTCGAATCCAGGTTTTTTACTCTCAGCCCAACTCTGTTCATCCCGTTCCAGGGCCTCTGCTTCTCCACTCAGGGCAAACTCGTGAAATGCACTCCTAGATCATAGAGGCGGACTCGCAGGGGCGATAGAATGGGAATCAGTGCCCGTGCCTCGAAAGGAGAACTTGTGGGAGTCCTTCTCTTTCTCAAGGCCTCAGTTTCCCCAATCTGTAATCATGGGACGGAGAACCACAACGCCAGCTCGTCCTCTTTTCGGGGGCGGAGACACGGCCGGTCTTGCTGTCTCCGGGCCCCTGGGCTCAGGTGTTGAAGCCCGTGTGTCCTGGGAAGGCGGACCCGGATCTCCCGGCCCCGTCCCTAAACCGCGGCGGCCCCCGCCCCAACCCCAGCCCCTCACATACCTGCTTCCGCGCAGTTAACACCGTGGGGGCCGCCCAGTGTACCACTTAGTCGGCTAAACGGCCAGTCCTACCGCCCAAACTGTTGGGTAGGACCTCCGACCCCTCCTACGCGGACTCCAGTCACCTGACGCGGAGCCGCCCCTTTCGGAGGAACTTCCGGCCCCAACCGGAAGAAACTGATGCCCAGGTCCGAAGCTGTAAGGTTCCGCTTGCGGGTAGGAAGCGGAGGAATCTTGGAGCTCCTTGGCAGCTTTTTAAAGAGCTTGAGTACCAGGCTCTCAAAAGGAAAAACTGATTCCGGCCGGGCGCGGTGGCGCACACCTGTAATCCCAGCACTTTGGGAGGTGGAGGTGGGTGGATCACTTGAGGTCGCGAGTTCGAGACCAGCCTGGCCAACATGGTGAAACCCCGTCTCCACTAAAAATGCAAAAATTAGCCGGGTGTGGTAGCGCACATCTGTAATCCTAGCTACTCGGGAGGCTGAGGCAGGAGAATCGCTTGAAACCTAGAGACGGAGGTTGCAGTGAGCCGAGATCACGCCACTGTTCTCCAGCCTGGACGACAGAGCGGGGGCAGGAAGAAAAGAAAAGAAAAAGCTGATTCCGGAAAGTACCAGATAAACTTGAACATCTTGTTACACAAGAATATAAGGATGATGGTAATAAGAATCGTGGGAATGTGTCAAAGAACACAGGAACTGTCTTTAAGGAGATCCCACTGGCCAAGTCAGGGCAATTTCAGAATCAAAATATGTAGTGATAGTAATAGAATATAACTAATTGAATAAAATAGTGATTCATGAGTCTTTGCAGACATAAAGAAGTGAGTATATTAATGGACGAAGGGAAAGTCTTCTTTTTAGTAGAATGCCAACTAATAAACATGGTGGAGTTAGAAAATCAATAATGTGTGGTAAAACTAGAGAAACGGGATGTTTAAAACATTAAAAGTGTCTCCCATAAATTGCCTATTGATTACAAAGTGAAAATGGTGATGTTACAGAGGTGTAACCTAGCAGAACAAACAGATCAAAGTGATCGAAGTTAACACCACTAGTTAATGGGTCAGATCAAAGGCCTCCTAATAAGATGCACTGAGGACACATCTCCTCTGTGGTATTTCTGTCAAAAGTATACCACCTACATCTCATGAGGAAGCGCTAGAGAACACCAAATGAAGGACACTCTACAAAATAACTCATTGTCATGAAAAACAGAGAAAAGCTGAGGAACTGTTCCAGTTTAAAGGAGACTAAAGAAGCATGACAACAAAATGTGATGTGTGATTCTAAATAGGACCCTTGACTGGGGTGGTGGTGGTCATGGAATAGTTGTAATGGACAATATTGGGACAAGTAATGAAATTTGAATATGGACTGGGGATTAGCTTTAATACATATTGTATCAAATCACATACTGGTAGGTGATGAGCTTGTGATTTGCACCCAAGCAGTCACTGGAGTTCTTGACGGCCATCTTCATTCATTCAGCAAACATTTATTAAGTGCCTACAGGTATCCCATGAACTGTTAAAGATTGGGCCTGAATAGGAGGTGAACACGGTAAAGGGCAGGCGTGGTGGCTCACGCCTGTAATATCAGCATTTTGGGAGACCAAGGCAGGTGGATCACTTGAGGTCAGGAGTTAGAGACCAGCCTGGCCAAGATGGTAAAACCTTGTCTCTACTAAAAATACAAAAATCAGCTGGGCGTAGTGGTGGGGTGCTTGTAATCCCAGCTACTTGGTAGGCTGAGGTTGGAGAGTCACTTGAACCCAGGAGACAGAGGTTGCAGTGAGCCAAGAATGTGCCATTGCACTCCAGCCTGGGCGACAGGAGCAAAACTCTGTCTAAAAAAAAAGTAGATGAAATAAGCTCATAGATGAAATTTCTAGTCTGCCAGCCACCTTCTCAAGTTCCTGTGATCAAGAAGTAATACAAGGGATGTTTCCAGTCACACAAACCTGGATTTGAAACCTGGCTCTAAGAGAAAGGTAACTCCAGATATCCAGGAGATGGCCTGGCACTCACAGATAAACCTTGGTGTGTTCTCCTGTTGCACGTAAAAACTTCACAGAACATCAACATCAAACAAGGCCACTATGTGACCATGATGGATCAAGACAATAATAAAACCCCTCTAATCATATCTGAACCCAGACAAAATATGAACATTGTTCAAACTACAAAAATGGCCAAACATTTCCTTATTTGGACTCGTGTAGAGATTATAGCTTTAGCCTCAGTCTACTCTTTCCTCCTTCTAAATAAAGTTTATCAAGGCATTCACTCATAGACAGCATCCAATCCAGATCAAAACCCCATTTCCTTAAACCCTCCTCCAAATCACCTAAAGCAAGCCCAAATCCTATGTGTCCTTTGTAACACTTTGTTACTGAGATGCCCCCTTGTTTTGTTTGTTTTTGAGATGGAGTCCTGCTGTATCACCCAGGCTGAAGTGCAGTGGCGCAATCTCAGCTCACTGCAGCCTTCGCCTGCGGGTTCAAGCAGCTCTCCTGCCTCAGCCTCCCAAATAGCTGGGATTACAGGTGCTCACCACCATGCTGGGCTAATTTTTGTATTTTTAGTAGAGATGAGGTTTCACCATGTTGGCCAAGCTGGTCTCGAACTCCTAACCTCAATTGATCCTCCTGCTGTGGGCTCCCACAGTGCTGGGATTACAGGCGTGAGCCACCACACCTGCCGACCCATTGTTTTTCATGATTCAAGTCCCCCCACCCTTACCCCATAACAAATGACAAACTCAACTTGTTTAACCACAAGTGTGTTCCAATTTATTTCTACCTCAAAAAGTTGTTATGAGGACACATGGAACAGGTTCAGCACAGAGTGAGCTTTCTCTATCAATCAACCCATCATCTATTTTTTATTTTTAAAGAAACGTGGTTTCAGCTTGTGGCCTAGACTGGAGTGCAGTGCACACCATCCTAACTCACTGCAGCCTCTAACTCCTGAGCTCAAGCAATCCTCCCACCTCAGTCTCCTGAATAACTGGGACTACAGGCATGCAACACACTCGGCTAATATATTTTTGGTAGAGACAGGGTCTCACTGTTGCCTGGGCTGGTCTCGAACTCCTGACCTCAAGGGATCCTCCCAGTTTGGCCTCCCAAAAGTGTTGGGATTTTGGGCATGAGCCACCTCACCCAATGCTTTCAATATACTTTTTGAAAAATTATTGGCCGGGCACAGTGGCTCATGCTGCCCCCCAGCTTGCATTGTTTCTAAGAGAACCTGCACCATACCTTTATCTCTCACCTTCCCCCAGATCTTAAGAAGCACGAAGTTTTAACTGTGGACACAGGATTTGGTGGAACAGCAACCATGACTGTGGTAAGAGTAGCAAGACTACAGCAGCACATTGACTACAGAATGAAATCCATCCTGCAAGAAGGCGGAATCTTGGTTGGCACCTTTGAGGCGTTTGACGAGCATGAGAATTTGATCCTCTGAAACTGTGATGAGTTCGGGAAGATCAAGCCAAAGAATGTGAAGCAACCAGAGTGTGAAGAAAAGCACGTTTGGGGTTTGGTGTTGCTGCCTGGGGAGAACTTGGTATCCATGATGGGGGGCTACCCCCCCAAAGAAACTGGCATTGCTCAGGTACCACGTGCTGGAGCTTCATGACGCCCTAGTGTTGTTCGGACAGGTGGTAGAGGAGTATCAGCTGGTGTACCAATTCCCCAGGCTCCTACCGGATTAGCAGGCCCTGTCCCAGGAGTTGGGGGACCATTACACAGAGAAAAGCATTACTGGAGCGCAACACAGTACCTACTAGGATGGGGGACTCCACCCCCACCTGTTGGCAGAGCAGCCCCATCTCTAGGTATTATATTCCCTCCACATGGTATGAAACCACCCATGGGCCCACCAACTGGGCTTCCCCTTGCTGGAGGGATGCCAATAAGCACGCCCCCTCCAGGAATGAGATCCACCTCACCAGGAATTAGAGGTCCACCTCCCCCAGGAATGCATCCACCAAGACCCTAGGAAACTGCTGATCCATCTCAGTCACGTTTCTCCCTGCAATGCATCTTGTGAAACTGTGTAGAGTGTTTGTTAGCTTTTTGTCCCCTCTCTCTGCATGAATCATAGCTAATAATCCATGCATAAAGCAATTAAACTGTGGGAAAAATGATGTTGGAGCCATCAGCTTTCATTAAGATAAACTCACTGATTATATTCCTCTTTGCTCTTTTTGTTGAGTTCATACAGCGGAAAAATTGAGAGAGTTCAACTTTTCCTTAGTCAGAAATGAGGTCATTCTCATGGTCTTTTCTGGAAAGCAATAACCACATTCCTGAAACTTTAACAGGGAACCAGCACTGTTTATTTCTTCATGTTCTTGTTATTAAAAATGTTCCCAAGAAGCAACGGAATTGGAACTACCAAACTTGGAAGCACTTCAGCCTCAAAAATATATCAAGTAATATCTTCTCTGCTTTAGCACACTAAGGCACTTACGGTCCCTGGAAGCCCTGTTGGTGATGTTGGCATTTATCCTGCCAGAATCCAGCATAGATTTAATATTATTTGATGCCTACAACACATTGCACTGAATAGAAAAAAAAATCCATTCTGGTGGGAAATAATTTTAAAAACATAAATTTTCTGATTTCTTCCTCTGCTTCCTCCCAAGACTTCTCTTTTTTTTTTTTTTTTGAGATGGAGTTTCGCTCTTGTTACCCAGGCTGGAGTGCAATGGTGTGATCTCGGCTCACCGCAACCTCCGCCTCCTGGGTTCAAGCAATTCTCCTGCCTCAGCCTCCCAAGTAGCTGGGACTACAGGCACGTGCCACCATGCCCAGCTAATTTTTGTATTTTTAGTAGAGATGGGGTTTCACCATGTTGACCAGGATGGTCTCGATATCTTGATCTTGTGATCCACCCATCTCGCCCTCCCAAAGAGCTGGGATTATAGGCGTGAGCCACCGCGCCCGGCCAAGACTTCTCATTTTAATAGCCCTAACCTTCCTCCAGCCCCCACTTTGCCCTTACTCCTCTAATAATAATAGTAACAGTAGCTATTGGCCAGTGTGGGTGTAGACATGGTCTGATTTGTTTATCTGTAAAATAAGCGTGGAGAGGTGAAGTCATTGGCTGATAGTCATACCTACCATCTAACCGTGGCAGAGTGAGATG